AAAATGTACATAGCAACCCAGATTTTCCTTAGCAACGGAACTGGTGATGTGATTTAGGCAGTGCTAATGGAATTGAACAATCACGTCAACATCGTACATATCTATAACTTTCACTGTGCACATGATCCATTTTTAATATTACATTATCATATTTTCGTAAATACGTTCATTAACACTATTAGTGCCAAATGCCTGGTCAATTTTTCGGTCTGTTTCAGCAGCGCGTTGGATCAATATGAATTCGTAGAGAAAAATTGGGCGAAAATCTCAACATCATATAGCAATAAGCTCAGAAGAGGCCAAAAATTCAAATTAGGACCAAGACACAAAAGAATTAATAATTTTTTGAGATTGTAGATACAAAAACACATGATATTAAAACGGCCAAACTTTTGAAACAACGTAATAGGAATAAATCTGTTTTATTTCTGGAGCCTTGTTTATGTTAATTTTATGTTTTCTCAAAGTGGTGAATCAACGTTTTTGTTCGACTTTTGTCCTTGTTTCATAAACTCACGGTGGCTCATAATCTGGTGTATACCGGATAAAATTCGACATCTACTTCAAATTACCGTTTCGAGAAATATGTCAGGAGGATGCTGCACACGGTTGTCTGGAAATGGAAATTGTTAACAACTGTAAAGTTTTACAACTGCCGCGATTTCTCTCTTCTCTGTATATTTACAATATGGGTTCTAGGATCATTTGAATATGACGGAACATTTAGAAAATCCAAGTTATATATAATTTTTGAAGGTTTGAAAATTGTCTTTCTATTATCATGAATTTTAGACACTTTCCAGTTCAAACTCTAGAAGAAAGCTAGAAAATAGATCGTTGGCTGGTGAGTCATACGTAAAAAATGGCTCTCAGTCCAGTGAAATAATCCATTTTTTAGGTCTTAGCGTGCGTTTTTCGGGGGTCGTAATTTTAATTTTTCTGATGTGTAGGGGGGATTAGTATAAGCTTAAGTTCAAGAGACGCAACCCTTGTTCCCTGGCCGCCATTTTGGAAAAAGGGATACAAACTAGAAACCCTACAGAAAATTTGATCTGACGTTATTTGTAGGAAATCAAATTATCTACAACTTCATTCTAATTAGTTTTCATCGTGAAATGGAAAATAAAAAAATTATAAACAAAAACAACTGAGAATTTTTCTGACTTTCTCTACAGACGATGCAGACAATGAACTACACTCCTCGACAGGAAGCTAACATGGAACTCTCACCTACAGAGTAGACCAAAAAGAGCATATGTGGCTTATGAGCCATGTCGGAGGACAGTGGGGCGCGCATGGGGTCTTCACCCCGTGTGGTCACCTGGATCTACACTGCAGTAAAACCTATGTCAACGTATGGAGCCATTGCATGGGGACCGAAAGTTCTACAAGCAACGGCCATCCAAAAATTATATCAAATAGAGTGACTGGCTTATTTAAACATCACAGGAGCCATGAGAACAACACCGACTGCGGCAATGGAAATAATTACTGGTCTGACCCTTGTTGACCTGTACGTTAAGGAGGTTGCGTTAATGGCCATGTTACGATTGAGCACGGCTGGTGTAAACCTCGAAGTAGAAATGGGTCAATTGAGGCTGAGCCTATGGCGAGAAGCGCTCACTGCGCAACTCTACTGCAGGCAACAAGTGATGCAATTGAACCCAGGTTTGTGTTTAATAAACCTTACAAAATACAAATAAAACAGAACACAGAGTCAGATGCTACAAATGCAATACGGNTTGATGGTGCATGCTGCGGTTCGGAATCCAATTCAGTATCGGAGGTCAATGTTTGCAGAATATAGGAAGTTAGAATTGTCGTCATTGTGCGTGGTTCGCCTCCGAATTAATTTTCTTAGATTAATTTTGGTATTTCCATCATATTACTGCAGGTTTCACTAGAACAATTAGGACACACTGCAGAGCATTTAACGCTTGCCTATCGACAACCACACATACTTCCACAGTTTCCCTTGAATCTGCAGAAAATTGATTTCAGAAGTTCGGGGGATGCTGGAGGTTTGGAAGTTGGGATTGGTATCCAAATTTTTCAATGCTCTTTCTAGCCTCAATCTTCAGAATCACAGTGTTTGTTGAGCCACGACTGAACCTGGTGATCCTGAACCAAGCTGCATCTTGTGTTGAAAGGAGCGATGTATTTTTGGTTACTGTCTTGGCGAATCTCATGATCTACAGAGAATCATCTTTATTTCCACCATACAAATAGACGAAAAAACGTTTGCTACCGACTTTCTCACTGAAAAATAATGCTGTTCCTCTAGCTAACTCGGGATGTTACTGTTAAATTTTAATGAATCCAAGTTTGCCTATGTTATAAGTTGCTGATGTTAAGTCGCATCCTGAAAAAGCATGGAGAAACAGCATATTTTCTGCAATGAAGTTGCCATATATAAAACCTGAAGGACAGTATAATTGATCAGATGTACGCTGTTTTGAAAGTAGTTTTAAAAAAATACATTTAGACTGCTTCCTTCCTAATGACAAGAATGTCAATGTTCTCTGCTACGATAGTCACAGAATCAGAAGATTGGGATGCAGTAACCTCAGAACGGACGATCTGCATCATCTGATTCAGCTTGGACAACACTTAAACCCACAGCACTTTTGAGAAGGTCTTTTAAGTTTGCATTGTTCTTTTCATCACCAAGAAATGTGTCTTGAGAAAATGTTGGTACGGTGCTCTTATCAAACTTTATCATCTCTATCGATTGATGCTTCCTCTTGTGACACAAGAGCTCCCACGACTTTGTTCCTGCGATATCTGGGTTTTCGAAGTAGCCATCAAATATTAGTCCATGGGGATCTTGTACATACCCAACATGCTTAACAATAATGTTCAAAATCGAGTTCGGATCCCAAACCAGTTTATGTAACAGAAAACCACCATCGATTCTTACGAGTATTCAAGAACCCGGTGAACTTCGGAGCGCTGTAAAACCCACGTAAATTAATGAAATTAAACAAATTTGTAGAGGAAATTATTCAATGAAAAAATCTCTATAAGATTATTTCGATGTTATTCTATTGTGGGATAACAAAGTTATAACGCCAAAAATTTTGTTCAAAAAAAGGTTCAGTCATTTTTGTTTATTTTTCATTTTACGATAGAAGGTAATAGGAATAGAGTTGTAGATAATTTGGTTTGCTACAAATGGTGTGGGATCAAATTTTCTGTAGGGTCGTTAGTTTACAAGATACATCGTGAAAACCCTCTGCACCCCTTTTTTCAAGATGGAGACCGGGGAACAAGGGTTGCGACCCCACAAACTTGAACTTTAGCTTACACTATCTTCCCTACACATCAAAAAAAATATAATTGCGTCCTCTGAAGAGCGCAACCCTGCAAATGTAATTTTTCAGTTATCTCGAAAATATCTAGATATGGGAATGCCAATACAGTTTACAAGAACCTCAATACAGATCGGAATCTCTAATGAATTTATGCTGAAATGAGGAATGTTCCTCCTGACGAAAATCAAGTAGATTTCATAAAAGAGCTTTAAAACAACTCATTTTAAACTTATCATTTCAACCTTTTTCTTTAAAAATTATTTTAATACTTAAAAAAGAGGAATGAAATAATGCATTCAACATTTAAAGGGATTCATTTCTATTTCACCATTTTGCAACATCGGTTATAGCTAATAAAGGACAATGAATCTGTTACCTGTATGAGACAAACAAAGATGACATATTTCAGAGGCGTGCTGTTCTGTTTACTTAAGTTCCGAGACATTCGGTGACATATGACATTTTGTGCACCTAACCTATAGTGAAGATCAACCCCAAGGGACTGTCTATCTGCCACGCATAGAAGGTGTCACCAAGCGAATCGGGAAAATTTTAAAGAAGAAGAAAATCAACACCCAACTCAAACCAAAAATCAACGAACAAAATATCCCGAGTAAAGCAAAAGACATCAGAGATCCACATAAATCGGCGGGAGTTTACAGGATTTAATGTAACTGTGGTAAAGTCTATATCGATCAGACGAAAACAAGCGTTGGAAGAAAAGAAGCCTAGTCGAGCACAAGAGGAGTTGCCGATTGGGACAAACCAAAAAGTCTGCAGTCTCTGAACATGCACTGTCCGACGGGAAACACAAGATACTGTTCGAAAATACCGAGAGGATAGCAACTTTGAATCTTTATTCAACAAGAATACATTTAGAAGCCATAGAAATTCACAAATACCAAGAGAACTTCAACAGAAAGGAAGAGAGAACATATCTACTAAAGATCGGGCACACAGTTTTGAAAAGCGCCAAAACGAAGCCAAGTCAACAAAATCGCGCGAACCAGCCATTACAGAAAGTGCTCGAAAAATCAGCATCATAAATGATAACGGCAGAAATGGGAGCTTCAGTTTCAGTTGACATGTCAAGAAGAGTACTTCAACCTCGCCACTGAAGTTGACTTCCGGAGTTGCAGTCGAAACGTTTGGAAATCATAACCAAAGAAGACCACGGCAAAACCCGGAAACCATCCAAAAAGGTTTATCACATTTTTACCTGTTTTCTGTTTAAAATCTGTTTTTCCGTGAACCAGCTGTCGCGCCCGTACGAACGACAATCCTCAGAAGTCGAAACTTGTGCGAGCTAAAGATTAACGAGGTCTTACCTTTTAACGTGTGATTCCTAACACGGAATGCCCTGTCTTCACTTATCAAATGAGAAAAAATGTTATCTTGAATAATATCATGAAATTGAGAGCACTTGTTTTACCGACTTAATTTTGTATGTACCTATACACCCTTTTTTATTTATGTTTCTGCTTGTACTTGTGTATATTATTTTTACCTCAATATGTATTAGGAACTATACCTTGGTGTTAAAAAAATATATCTAAATATCGTTATCTACGAAACTGTCCATTTTTGGCCTAGACATCTTGTGCGTCACTTCAAAAAAATTGTAGGAGCAGCCTCTGTAGCTTCATTTCCATTGTACTAACTTTTTCAAACTTATTTTTTCTACAGAATTCCCTTCTGCGCAATCGATTCTACGACAGATCGCCCGGCAATGAATTCTTCGACCACAATCGCGAAAAATCTAAATTCCGCCGGCCTATGCCGTACATCAACTTTCTGGCGGTCTTTGTCCTGATACTGGTCGTTTTCTTTTTGGTTATCTTGATAGAAAAACAGTTACCGACTGGTCTAAAGATCGCCGAAGAATCGAAATATCCCGACAGGTTCATAGCGGAGCGCTCCTACAATATTTTGAAAAATTTAACGAAAATCGGACCACGACCGGCAGGAAGTTACGAAAACGAGGTGTTGGCTGTGAATATCCTCAAGCAGGAAGTCGATAGCATTATCAAAGAGGCTGACGAGCACCACGTCATACAGTTGGACATCCAGAAGGCATCGGGGGCGTTTACTTTGAAGTTCTTAGATGGTATGACGAATGTTTATCAGGATATACAAAACGTCGTCGTTAAAATTGGATCTGAGAAGGAATCTCACCACAGTTTGTTGATCAACTGCCACTTCGATTCTGTTATGGACAGCCCAGGTGAGCTCATTTGAACGTTTTTCTTTGCTATAAGTAGAATGAAACTTTTTCCTGAAGTACGAAAAATCACTCACTAGCGGCGCTAGTAGTTCGGTAGGGACAAACATTGCCTAATCTTCATATAAACATATGGTAGAGTACAAATAAAAAAGAATGTTTTTAACAGAAGAAAATGTTCCTGTAACATTAAAAGGTTGGCTTGCATGCCGTTATTTGAAAGTAACTGGAAAAAAGTGAATTAATAGACAGGTTAGTATACAGACTCAAGTAAAAGAGTAGCGGTAGATTCAAACAGTAATAAAAGAAATTCAAAATAATTATGAATTTCAGATTTATTTCCGAGTGAAATATGAATGAAATATAGATGGTAGTGAAATAAATTCAATTAAATATAATCTGTTTAAAATCTGTTTGAAATANTTGAAAGCCGTAGATTTTTGGAATTTTTTCCTGACGTTTCACTGGTGCGAGTGGCTAGTTTCTTCAGAGGTTAAACCATCATGGCTTGCTGTCCGATGACAAGCCGATGCTGTCCGATGATAAGCCATGATGGTTAAATCTCTGAAGAAGCTAGCCACATTTAGACACAATAAAGTAAGTTAAATTGTAATAGTGGACTACTCCTGAGACTATGATTAAAAAATAACCAAATATTTGGAATTTAAGGTAATTTATAAATTTTTTTATATTTTGTGGATATTAAATGTTTGTATTACTTATCGCAACTCTTTGTTATTCTAACGAACATAAATACATATTTATAATCAATAATTTTACTAAGGTATGGCGGGCTGTTCTACTTGTTTAAAGATTTAAAAATAGCTATTTATGAGTAATATGACCTTCATCTACAGACAATATCATTCGGTAATGATATAAGTAATGAATCATTGATTGATGATGTCTATTGATTTTTCTGAATGAATGGGAATCGATGTTCTTATGTGAAATGATAAAAAATAAACTCCATTTTCATAGTTTATGTTATGATTTTTTTACTTGAATTTAACTATGGTAAAATAAGTTAAAAAAACTTATGTTGAACGTTTTTATTGGAAAAATGATAATCATGATGTAGATAATGTACTGGGTAGCAGTCATCACACCATTTTCCTCAGCAATCTACGGTATTGATCAAATAAAAAAAATTATAAAATCTTTGGGCGTAGTTGTTACATATTTACTCAGGTTACACTACATTACATTATTATCAATTTTTTTCATTATAACCGTTTGTTGTTTTACTATTTTAATTTCGACTTTTTAGCCTCCGATTTTATCACTTAATACTTCTCATTCTGTTTAATTCATTTAGTGCCTCAGTAATAAAAGGTAATATGTAATCCACCATTCTGTATAGCTGCGGTCATCTTGAATTTGCTTCTTTTTCAAAGTGTATTACCATTCTACAAGTCAAGCCTTGTCATTTGATACCCATATTGAGGTAGTTGTGAAACATAATATAATCCGCCATTTTGAAGGTGCGGCCATCTTGGATTTACAAAGATACAGATATCAGATCAATCTGTCGGCAGGAAGGAGGTCAAACTTTAATTACAAAATTTGACCAAAAAAAAACAAACAGGGCAAGCTAAATGAAACTGTTTAAAAATACTTCTACCGAAACCTATCCATATTCAACATATTGAAATGGGTTTGTTTTGCTCATGAAACCATACTTATCAGGACTGATTGTCTGTTACTGTATAATAAATTGGGAGTAACAAGTCAAGCCAGACATTTTCTGGTAGAATAAATATATCTCTTTAAAAATCTGAAAATATGGACATAAACGTTCAAATATGCCTTAATGATTAATCAAAGAGTCTATCTACGTTGGTGTTACTTTTAGAAAATAAGTACTCAGTAATTAACTGCCCAGTACTTTTTGATTTCTCAAAGAAAAATATCCGAAGGGTTCTGGGTTTGAATACTATTCTTATTAGGAATATTTTGATGCCTAAACAATTTAAACTTGTTTAGGCATCCTGTGTATATTAGGCGACCCAATATAATGTTTGCACTCTTTCCAAATAAAGGATACGGCTCAATAATCGTCGGTTAGCCGTATTTTGGGAAATAATTGGATTCATATCCTGAAAATTGGCAAACATAGGTTTTTCAATGTGCTTTATCGAATGAAGGTAATGGGGTTTTCCCAACAGTTCTGGTTATACCGGAAGTTGGAATCAACTTCCTTAATTCCAGTGTAACACCCTGTATATTTTCACATTTTTGAATACCTGGTATAATTCTAATATGACTTTGTAAACACCCTATACCAAAAATGAACGGTTTTCGAAATATTCTTTTGTTTACTAAAAAAAACTCGGTATTCCGCTCCTGAGTTATTGATTCCCCCATAAGATTCAACAGTTTGATAGAATACATAATTAAGCTATTATTGAATCATAACAATAATTCATTCCATCGTCTTGTACGAGTAACATTTCCAAAATGTTATGCAAGGTGTGAGGAATCGATGACTAATTCTGAAGATATATGTTTAAAAAAAAAATCTGTTTTTTCCGTTAACCAGCTGTCGCACCCCTACGAACGACAACCCTCAGAAGTCGAAACTTGTGCGAGCTAAGGGGATTAACGAGGTCTTACCTTTTAACGTGTGATTCCTAACACGGGTTGGACGATAGCAAGTGAAGATCCATCGTTCAGACTAGGGCTTGAACCATCGATCAACACGGCAGTCAAGTCGAGTGAGTGAACAAAGCACCCACGCCGAACCGCTTGGCTACCGACCGACCATATAAAAAGGGGCCAAAACTCAGCTCTTTCACATGGAACACCTTGTATTTTAGGATAGTTTTGAAATTCCGAGGTGATTATGACTCATTTTAGTGAAACATTCCTTATAAACAAAATCAACTGTTCACGAGATATTTTAGTATTTCTGGAAAAAAATAAAACATGTGATGTCAACCATAAAACTGCGGGCTATGAAACCTTCATAGCCCGCAGTCATAGTTTTTATTGAAGGCAGGATGTCAGATGTACAAATAATGAATTTAATATATGTGTATCCTTAATGATTCATAAAAGAGCGAAAATTCAACCAGTTTAGAAGCTTACAACAGACAACTAAAATTATTAAGTATCCTGATGTAAATGAATACTATACTTTGGAATAAAATAATTTTCAGTGGATGCCAATTGACGATTTAGAGATGCAATTGGTAGATTTTCAGAATAGCATTTGGACTCAAGAATTTGTCAAATTAAGATCAGTAGTTTAAAATATGGAACGAAATCGTTTGAAGGATGAAAATGAGTACAACTACGAAGATGAAATTTTTAAATCTTGGAACAGATCACCTGATACTTTAACAACTAAAATATTAGCAATGGCTTTGCTAACATTTTTTTCATTCACATATTTTCTTGAGACAGCATCGAATAATATTAAGACAAACAAACGGAATTGGTTAACAGATGTCGCTATTAACAATGCAACTTCCAGCATGGCCTTTTCCGAATTAGGAGTACCTCAAGGGTCGATATTGGGACCTATATTGTTTGTATTGTACATAAATGATTTGGAGTATGCAACGCCCGGAGCATTCTTAACAATGCATGCAGATGACACGTCGAATGAGATTTCATCATCGGCAAAAGGAATGTGATGTCATCAGTTTCAGAATAATTGATAATATTGACACAGTAACAACAGAATTTGCGAGCTTAAAATTTTCAGGTCTTGATGAATGTTTGAATTGGCAGAACCAGTGTGAGTTCCTAATCAAAACAATTAACTATATTTCATATCAGTTTCGAAATATTAGGCAGGAATGGTATTTTTCAGGTGCGAGTGATGATGGGGCAAGCTGCGCAGTCATGCTGGAAATATTACGAGTTCTGTCGAAATCAAACAAGAGGCTGAGGCACAATATCATATTTTTATTCAATGGAGCAGAGGAGAACTTTTTGCCTGCGTCCCACGGCTTTATCACTCAACACAAGTGGGCTAAAGAGGTAAAAATATAAATGACAACTCCGTTTCGAGTTCCTACCATAATGGTTTTCTGTTGATAACAAAACAAATCATCAGTACCACTGTAGTACAAACGACCATATACTGGGTTATATCTTTAATTTCTGATTTTCTAAAGGATTTAAAAATTTATTTGACGTTTACAAAGGACAAAACCTTTGAAGTGAAGACTGGCCTGAAATTATTGGTCCTTTAGATGACTTGATTTATAGCCAGTCTTCAAGAACAACTCAGTAGCACTTGTGCTGAGTTGAACTTCACCTTTTGTTATATCAGCAACTAGCTCTGTAATTTATCTAAATATTTGTATTTAACTACAGCTGGGAAACAATAAAGACGATTATTACTATAGGTGCAACTATAGAGCACTTAGTAAAAACAATAATGGCTTTTAATGATGGTTCCGTACAATTACAACCAACACACATCCCCAAACAGATGAGAAATATGTTCTCGTTTCTTCGTACCCGTAATGAGCCTAATGCACGCATTCGAGAGCTTTTAAATTCTAAAAGTGTCACTTTTCAAAATTCCTGGACTGTACATCATGTCTGTGTAGTTGGCATGTGAGAGAACTGAAGTATCTCATAGTATAATTTCACTTCTTTTGTTCAGAAATGCCCTGTTGGAATATATCATTTTAAAATTTGCATAACCCCCGTTTCAGAATTTGTGAAGACTATTGTCAAGATATAGGCCCAAGTTTTTTGTAATTTATTTCAAGGGAATGTCGTTTCCATCTATCACAATTATTATCAGGTCAGAACAATGATTCTCGCAGCTGTTCTACCAAAAAGCATGACATTAGATTTAGATGTGTTCATTGACAAATAGGCAATTTGCCATAGGACCTCGTGAATTGAATTCTCGTCGAATTCCATGTACAGCTGAGTATCGTCGACGTAACAATGCATGGTTGCAAATTGCAGTTATCTATGAAATTGAGATGTGTATAAAACGAATCAGAGAGGGCCCAATATTGAACCTTGAATAACACCGGTTTTTCGTTATTCTACACAGCTCATTGAAAACGATTGCAAAGGTAACTTTTCAGTAGTCCTACAGGTAGCCCTAGGTAGCCAAAAACAGTAAGGAGGAGTTCATGGTGTATTATAGTTACTTGAAAATATCTTCATGAAATCTTATCCTGCGGCTCTACATTATTTTGTGATCGTTTCTGGGAACTGTACTTCTTGGAAAAGATGTTTTTGGGAATATTCTTGATTCCTACTGTTTTGCGACACTACTAGCTTTTGTGAAATATTGCTCACCTGCCATGTCCTGCTGGGTGTATTTGTGAACTCGCAACTCGCAGGTCTCCTTTGGAAGTACAGCCACGAGTTGCGTAAAATTCGGAGTCTTATTTGAGCCATGCTATGAAGTTAAGATTTATTGTCAGACTTTATTGTTGGGGGAGTCATAATTATTTCTTCAAAGGTTCCATTATATTTTGAAGTAGACACATTTTGAAATCTACAATTTTCATTTTGTCCAGAACTACAGAAAATTATAGGAAGATCACCTCAAAAGAGAAAGTTCGATAACTTTCGAAGTTCCATCTCTGGTTACCACAGTGCGATTTAATATACCTTATGGGCTTTTTCTTGGATACAAAATTACTGTGTATCATTCAAATATACAGTAGGGTTTTATGCAGTTTCGTCCATGTAACATGAAATAAACTCTTTTGTAGTACTTGAGAGTTGAAATTAATTTCCTTTGATTTGATCACTACTACTATTAGATCATTGCTAATCAACTACAAATTAGTAATGAATTTCCTCGGATAAGAAGATTTTCCAAAATAAATCTATTCAATATTTTTTTCAGGTTAGAGCTTTCATAAATTTGGAAGCTTGTGGAGCTGGTGGAAGAGAGGTTCTCTTCCAAGCAGGCCCAAACCATCCATGGATTTTGGAAACATACTCAGAAGAAGTGCCTTATCCATATGCTTCGTCATTGGCTCAAGAAATATTTCAAAGCGGAGTGATTCCTGGAGATACTGATTATAGGATATTCAGGGATTTTGGAAACCTATCTGGTGAGTTTTCTCATTCATGAATGATTTCCAAAAGAAGCTATGCTCACTTCATTTACTCTGGAAATGACTAGAAATCATCATTGCAGGGTTGGACTTCGCTTGGTCAGCCAATGGATATGTCTACCATACAAAATTCGATTCAATAGAGCAAGTCCCTCTAGGTTCACTGCAGAGAACCGGAGATAACATATTAGCTCTGGCCAAAGGGATGGCTCAAGGCCACCATCTTTCCAATGTTGAAAAGTATCGTGCTGGAAATTTGGTGTTCTTTGATTTTCTCGGAGCATTCGTTATACGTTGGCCCATGTTGGTAGCTGATATTATAAACATATCGTCTGTGATATTTTCATTTTACTCAATTTATGGTAACACCAGGAGTGCTGAAAAAACTGATGGTGAGTACAGCTGACAATTCAAAAAAACTTTTTAGTATATGTTCATGTTATTCAGAATTGCATTTCTTCATCATAAGTCAGAAATTTGTTTCATAATACTCATTTAAAGATTTTTGGCAGTACCCTGAGAGCAACAAGAGCCTAAAAAAAGTGTTCTCTTTTTTTAATTATTTTCTTCTTGTTTATTTTTTTAACTCATTTTGTTTGATGCCACTGTATTCACAATGAAAAATTGAGTCGTATATAGGATATACTTTAGTTTCGGCCCATATAAAAATACAAAATTCATGATGTTTTCTAAAAGACGCGCAGAAAAATTCTGCTCACGTTATCGTGTAGTCCTCAAAAAGTGACCATTGCAAAATACTATTTGTTTTACATTTCCTTTGAAAATAAAGCTAAGAGAAAATTGAAACGAAATTCTCAAATTTCGGTTTTTCTCGGATATCTCCAAAACTACTAGGAATATCGAAACTTTCTAAATGGTATATTATTAGGCACATAAATGCGCTACTTTTCGATATCCCCATGCTGTTCATTCTTATCGTAGACACAGTGTGTACGAGGGTGGTCGAAAAAGTTTCCGACCTCAAAATGAAGACAGCGGCACTCGTAAATGAAAACTAGTGAATTTCGTTGTTCATCTGTTGACTGTTATTCACCAAAGTTTCAGCCATTTTGGTAGCGCAGTTGTTATGTAATAGTCGTTTGAATGAGTCATTAAATATTTGTTTTTGAAAGGCAATATGCACACGCAAATCAAAGATGAGTTGGATTCTGTTTATGGGGACTTTGCACTATTATTTACCATAGTGAAATTTTGGGCAGCTGCATTCAAATGTGGTCGTAAGAGCGTAGGAGACGATGAACGTTCAGGACGTTCAAAAACTGCAACTACCGACGGAAACATCTCCAAAGTTCACCAACCGTCGAATGGAAGCGGGAGAGATAGAAGAGGTTAGAACATGACATAAAAAGTGTTTGTCACATATTGAATCAACATTTGCATGAGAAAGCTGTCCACGAGTTGGATGGTGCTCACATAAGATAAGAAACGTGTTCGAATGAACATTTTCAACGCTCTGTTGCCGCAGTTTAGGCGCCATACATCCGAGTTTTGGCGCCAATTATTTACTGTAGATGAAACATGGATACACCATTACACACCCTCAACAAAAATACAGTCCAATCAGTGGACTGCAAAGGGGGAACCGGCCCAAAAAAAGCAAAAACTATTATTTTGCTGGGAAAGCCAAGGCGACCGTTATTTGGGATAGTCATGGAGTTGTTTCAATCTATTGTCTTCAAAAAGGAAAAACCATCACAGGAGTATACTACGCATCATTACTTGACAAGCTGAAGGCAGAACTGGCGGAGAAACGGCCACATTTGCAGAAAAACTAAATCCTGTTTCACCCAGATGACGTACCGTCTCACACCTCGGGGGTTTGAACTGCTTGACCATCCTCCTTACTCACCAGATCTAGTTCCAAGCGACTTCTTTTTGTTCCCTCATCTGAAAATTGCGCTTGGAGGACAGATATTTTCGTCAAGTGAAGGAACAAAGAAAAACACCGAGTCTTTTTTGGACGGATTACAGAGACGGGAGCATCGCTGGAAGATGTGTGTTGGGTGTTAAAGGAGACTATGTTGAAAAATGAAAAAACGTCTGAAAAGATGTCCTGTATCTTTGTTAGGTCGGAAACTTTTCGGACCACCCTCGTATACTCCATCCTTGACTCATCGCTTTTGGACTTTGCAAATGTATCCCCAGGCAAATAATTATATTTGTGTCACATCTTGGCGGCAGTGTAAATACTTGCATTGATTTAAATGTCCTACAGTTTTCGACCGAATATTGATTTTTTTTCAATTTATCATTCCTTTTCTCAAAATAACGCCGGTTTTAATTTGTATTAAATTAAATTTTTCGTTATTCTACACAGCTCATTGAAAACGATTGCAAAGGTAACTTTTCAGTAGTGCTACAGGTAGCCCTAGGTAGCCAAAAACAGTAAGGAGGAGTTCATGATGTATGTAATCGAATGCCTAGAATAGTCTATTTTGTGATCATTTCTGGGAACTGTACTTCTTGGAAAAGATGTTTTTGGGAATATTCTTGATTCCTATTGTTTTGCGACACTGTACTAGCTTTTGTGAAATATTGCTCACCTGCCATGTCCTGCTGGGTGTATTTGTAAACTAGCAATTCGCAGGTCTCCTTAGAAAGTACAGCCACGAGTTGCGTAAAATTCGGAGTCTTATTTGAGCCATGCTATGAAGTCAAGATTTATTGTCAGACTTTATTGTTGGGGGAGTCATAATTATTTCTTCATGGCCAAAGGGATGGCTCAAGGCCACCATCTTTCCAACGTTGAAAAGTATCGTGCTGGAAATTTGGTGTTCTTTGATTTTCTCGGAGCATTCGTTATACGTTGGCCCATGTTGGTAGCTGATATTATAAACATATCGTCTGTGATATTTTCATTTTACTCAATTTATGGTAACACCAGGAGTGCTGAAAAAACTGATGGTGAGTACAGCATACAATTCAAACAAGTTTTAAGTATATGTTCATGTTATTCAGAATTACATTTCTTCATCATAAGTCAGAAATTTGTTTCATAATACTCATTTAAAGATTTTTGGCAGTACCCTGAGAGCAACAAGAGCCTAAAAAAGTGTTCTCACTTTTTTTAATTATTTTCTTCTTGTTTATTTTTTTAACTCATTTTGTTTGATGCCTTTCAATGAAAGAACCTTTAGGAAAAGGTAAAACAAAATAGGCCACCGTTTCAGCCATAACCTCTTCATATAAGCGAAATTTATTACAGGGGTCTGCAAACAGCCAGTAGTTGCTGGGAGCTAAATCTGGCGAATACGATGGATGTGAGAGCAATTCAAAGTTCAATTCATGTAGTTTTGGCATTGTTTTGATTGACTTGTGACACCGTGCATCGTCTTGATGAAACAAAATTTTTTCTTTGCCATATGCGGCAAGTGATGGATCCATATTTCATGAATTGTCATTGATCAAGGCAAAAATTCTGGTTTGTTATGTTTAAACATGGCCAAAAACTGCTCAGAATCATCAAGACGTTTTTGTTTTTGGATAGCAATGAGCTCCCGCGGCACCCACTTTGAACAGAGCTTTCTCATAGTGAAATGCTCATGCAATATAAAGCCAACACGTCCTTTTCATATCTTTACAATGTCAGCTAACTCACGCAACTTCACTTTTCGATCATTCATATCGATTTTGTGGATATTTTTATGTTTTCTGGTGTTACTGCCTCATTTGGATGTCCACTGCGTTCTGCATCGTCAGTGACTCTACAACCACATATGAAGTCGCTATACCAACGTTTAATTGTTGTTTTTGATGGAGCAGGGTCCTTATAATACTTTTCAAGCCATTACTTCCCTTGAACAGTATTCTTTCCCATCAAGAAGCAGTGTAAAATTAAAACACGAAATTGTTTTTATCCATTGTTTTGAAAATATCAAAAGTAGTGTCACTCTTAGCACAATAACTCACAAACTTATGAGTAGACTATCATGAAATTTCGACAGCTTTCTTTTGAAGGTTAGTACCAACTGTAAAAGCGTTGAATGCCATAAGACTAACGCCATCTATGTGTTTGGCCTAGAGTTCAGCCCAGTTAGTACATGTAAAATTCGCATTTTTAAATTGTCAACAATGGTTTTCAAATCTGAATTGAAAATGGACAAAAATAAATTTGAAATAAGAAAACTAAAGATGAATTCATGTAGGCAGTCTTGAGTCATAAGTCACAAGTTTCAAGTGAATTCACGTTTTCCATTCATTACTTCAAAAAATGTATGACTTCTGTATGTATGAATCACACGTTAAAAGGTAAGACTCCGTTAGTCCTTAGTTCGCACAAGTTTTGACTTTTGAGAGTTGTCGTGACAGGTGGTTAATGGAAAAACAGATTTTAAACAGATGTAAAGCAAATATCCAATTTCTCATGACTTGTGACTTACAATTTAGGACTAGAACATGAATCCACTTTAAGTTATAACTGAAAAAGGAACAAATGTTCATCAGGTATTCATTCATCATTGTTTTTACTTGCTCAATTTTTGTTTACATAAAATATTTTCATGTTCTATTTCACAAAGCAGTGTTGTTTTGAAATTTGTATTTCACATAATATGCATAACACTAACCTGCTTTTTTAACTGTAAATAAATATTTACATATTTCAATTATATACAAGGTACACCTACCTTTACTTCTGTGAAAAATATATCAGAACTTTGTTTCATTTCAGTATTGATTAATAATAACATCAAAAGCGTCATTCAAACATTCTCTAATGCCTATTCTTTTGATAGTCTTAATAAAAGAAATACACAGTGTTGCTTCATCTAAGCCATTAGCTCAAAATACTTTTCTTTTTTTGAACAAATAACACCCTTTCACTTACATTTTTACTTTAATTATTTGAGGGAGTGCTGCAAGATGGCGGTGGCCGTAAAGCAAAACAAAGATCAAACTAACAAAAAGATTATATATTTGGAATTCATAAATGGAAAAGTTAATTTGAATTGAAGGGGTTATATTTTTAGGAGTGATTAATTTTTTTTTTAATCAAGATGGAGTAGTAGAAAGCCAAAAACTTTCTTTCCCAAAAAGGAAAAGTTAATGTATTTACAAGTGTACACATCTCAATTGATTCCTTCACGTTTTCTAAGCTCCTAACCATTCACAACCTAAAAAATAAATAAATATAGATCGACAGATTTCTCTTGTAATAAAGGACAAACTGAAAAGTTCACTTCAAAAATTTACTGTCTAGTATGAAAGTTCGAAAATTCCAATTAGTCAGTAACTGGATTGATTTGTTATACTGCATTTATCAATTCTGAATAATCTCGCAAGATGACTATATTGAAGAGTTGTTTTCTATTTGATTAGTCAATTTGTGGTTATCCTTATCAGAAGAGATTTCAAAAAATGTCCCAAACATCTTTGTCAACAGGAATTTGTTTTCTTAGAACAACAAAAATAGCTCTCTATATTTCTTGTCATACATCTTTCCCTAATGTAGGTCACCCAGAGAATAAAATGTGATAAGGTTTTATCACTGTCAATGTTTTAGAGCACTTAGAAAGAAATAAGTTATAGACACGTGTTTTCAGTTGCATGACCCTCATCCATACAGTGCAGCTAAGTGCACATATACTAGATTTCAAGAAAAAGCTCATTTACAAGAAAAACTTCTTGTACCAAGGAGGTAGCTATAATTACGTGCTTGACACCCGCACTTGGCTATATCGTACTGATGAAGAAAAACTAGACTGGACCACGTGTCTTTATTTTTTTCTGAGTGTTCTGACTGAACAATCTTCCTTCTGGATTTATATGAAGACACTGGATAACTTTTATTCTTGTATTATTATATACCTAGCAGGATTAAGGCTGGTACTTTGCGTCTTTATTGAAATCGTGATTAGTGAATCGAAGCTGTTGAATTAATCGTGTTTAAAGTAGTCAACTGTGATCAGCAAAAGTCCATACTTTGTGACATTGATATCGTTTCCTCAAGCTTTTGTATGGTGATAATAATAATCTTTATGAAGATGATGACCAAAAGAAATAATAGATTTATAAAAATACATGAAACACTGGGTAGTCAGACTAATCAGCATTAAAAATTGATTAATATTCAAATTAGACAGTGACACGTCCACTTTCAAATGTGATTGACTTTTGATCATGTGGTAAAGACTTCAAATTCTCTATCAGAAGACAATCGCTATTGAATTTAATTTTGTCGTGAAGTACTACTCTTAAATAGTTGAATATCTGGGGAATACAATATATTTACAAATATATTAAAGTTATTATGTTACTTTGGACAACTCTGAATATATGAATAAATATTTAATTTCAGGCCTCACTAAAAGACAATACTTTAGGAAACTAATAGGATGCATGATTGTTGTTTTTCTGTCTTGGCTCTTGTCAGTCATATCAACAGTATTGATAGCAACATTCCTCAATTGCCTGGGACGAACCATGAGTTGGTATGCCCGTCCTTTATGGGTATTCTTCTTGTATGTGATTCCAACGTTAATCGTATCGATGGCAACTATTTTAACGCATGCCAAAGTGTATAATAAGGTAACTTTTTTCACAGTCACATCATTTATTTAATAGAAAGCGGATTTTTACATTCGTGTGAACGAAAATCAGCATGAATAAATTAAAAAACTATTATCAGCATAAATAAATTAAGAAACTATTAGGTTGTTTCAAAAGTACAGTTCATTTTTATGAGCCTACTTTAAACTGTAATATCTCAGTGAATACTCATTACATTCAATCAGTGCATTTTTGCCAATGTAATACAAGTCGATTAGGTCCGTTAGCATAAAAAATTGTGAGCTCGGGATTCGATGAAGTCGACGATGGCCGTTTTTGCCTGGCCCAGAAAGTTATAGTGAATCACATCAGCAGCTGACCACCATACAGTAACTATGGCCTTTTTTGGTGGGTTTTTTCCTTTGTAAAGTGCCTTGGTGGCTCATCGGCATCAACCACTGTCTTGAACGTCTCCTGCTGTCATCACACGTGACGATTCGATCCAATTGCCAAATGGTAGTGTTTCGGCAGGGCTTTGGTTCAATTTGAATTCGTAGAGAAAAATTGTCCAAAAATCGCTTAACGACTTCATATAGTAATAAGCTGAAAAGAGGCAAAAATTTAGAGTTAAGAAAAAAATGAACAACATCAATGTTTAAACCATGACACCGTAGAATAAATATTTATTGAGATATGGAGCTACAGAAACACATGACATTAAAACGTAGAACACTTTGGAAACAATTTAGTAATATTTGAAATTTTATGACAATAATTTCTGGTAGTAATCAATGTTATCGTTGAGTTTGGCATTTGAATTATTGTATCTAATGATGTCCTCTTTGTGGTGTTCTAATATGTTAGAGATTTACTACATTTCAATACTATTCACAATAAGTTGAATATAAGCAAACTATACAGTTCAGAACTGTGTAATCATGAAAATTCCTGCATTTGACAAATTGGCAAACTGAAAAATGAATATCATGATTGATATGAAGTGGTCATTTGTTTATACTGCATTTATCAGTACATATTCAAATATGTTAAAGTTCATATGTTATTTTGGACAACTCTGAATATATGAATAAATGAATAAATATTTAATTTCAGGCCTCACTAAAAGACAATACTTTAGGAAACTTATAGGATGCATGATTGTTGTTTTTCTGTCTTGGCTCTTGTCAGTCATATCAACAGTATTGATAGCAACATTCCTCAATTGCCTGGGACGAACCATGAGTTGGTATGCCCGTCCTTTATGGGTATTCTTCTTGTATGTGATTCCAACGTTAATCGTATCGATGGCAACTATTTTAACGCATGCCAAAGTGTATAATAAGGTAACTTTTTTCACAGTCACATCATTTATTTAATAGTCTACTTTTTCAGGATATTGACTCTTCCCCTTGGACATTGTTTCAATTGTATTATGATGCATATCAAACAATTTGGACAGTAGTGTTGTTGATGGGAGTTTTGATAAGATTGAGATCGAGTTTTATAGCTCTAATTTGGGTGTTTGCTGCTGCTTTAGGAAACGTTCTTAAATCGATGTTGTTCAACCAATGGAGAGGTAAATAATACCATTGGAATTGTTTTTAGCAGTTCATGAATATCCAGACTCTGGTATTAAACTAAACCACTACATAGTATAAAACAAAGTCACTGTCCACTGTCTGTCTCTATGTATACTTAGATCTTCAAAACTTCGCAACGGACTTTGATGCGTGTTTTTGTACTAGAATAGGGTGATTCAAGTAGAAGGTTTATATGTATGTAACACGCAGAAGATACACTGATAATTTAATTGGTTTCTAATGTGATGTCGTAAATAAACACATTTTTTTGCGTTTACATTGCAAATGCAATGGTTGAAAGTGGGAAAAATTAATCCATATACACTTTGATGAATCACTTCATCATTGATACAATATTATTTTGTCAATAAGATATTGATCTACAGACAACAAAGCTTTATTAAAAATTTGAATTGAATATTATAAAATTGACTTCACAATATAAGATGTGGCAAAACACATTTAATGCAAAATAAAGCCTTTGGCCTTCATTTCGCATGACATGCGAAACAATTTTGCAAATATTCGGTAGGTATTGACAATTTATGTGAATTTGAAGTGAAATGAGCATGGAAACAGAGTCACCAAAACATTAAGACAAATGAACAAGTGCGATGACATCTCCTCTAACAGATACGCCATCTATGGAATCGATGGATAAAGATGGATAAAGAACTTTTTCTTGAATATCAAATATAAATGAGGCTACACAGCGCTGTTTCGGCCCGCTATAGGTCTCATCAGTGGTGCTAAGCTAAACCACAAATGCATTGCTGGACTCATCTGTTCTGAACAATCCTGAGTAAACAAAAGCGATGACATCCCGAAATATCAGAAAATGTTTTAATAGATTTATCAGACTTATCTCATTATTCTATACAACCTCTCTCTAGTCACTGGAGGAAGATTTACGAAAAACTAGCGAAAGTTTTTTCTTAACAGTTGAAACTTACGGTACATTTTAATATAATTTTTTACGTTTTGGTTTGTTTCAGTTAATTTAGTATATTTTGAGTTTATTTTATTGCTGAATTTAAATAATCGAGAAATTTACAATTCTCAAGTCCTCGAGCTACTTCTTTGGATATTGCAGAGATCTTACATTGGATTTAATTATTCATTTTTGATATTATCATTGACAGATTCCAAATGGATTTTCCTCCATATATCAATGATGGGACTACCGTTTGTACAATGCTTTTACTTAATGATAGGAGCCCTTTACCTGTTCATACCAATAATGGGAAGAGCTGGGGCTGGCAGCCATGCTGAATATCTCATAGCGATAATGGTTTGTAGCTTATCAAACTTTTTTAATGTACTTTGATGAAACTTTCTGTGTTTGTTAGGTCACATGTATGTTCTCTACGCTATTCACCTTTGTTGTACCACTAGGATTACTTGTTAGAGGAATAGAAAGGATATTCAGCCTCTTGACTGGCCTATTTTTATTGTCTCTGGCTATATTAATACTCACGCCATTAGGGTTTCCTTATTCTGGCGAAGCAGGTGCTTTGGCTCCCCAAAGATTTATGATTACGGTAGGTGAATTAGAACAGTGAAATGGACATGAAATCAAAAATTTTTATTGATATGAAGTCTGAATGAAACTTTTTGTGTGGTTTTTGAAACCTGTGAAGTTATATGTGTTTCTTAATTTAAATGAGCTGAATTATGCCTTAATAATAAGAAAATATATGAAAATAATTAGGATAAATTATTGATGAAATGATCATTTCGTCTTGTAATGTGTAATGTATATATACTTGGCTATGTTCAAATCAGAAAACTTATTTTTGACTTGTGAATTTTTCCCGCTTTTTTCATGCGGATTTAAACTTGTGTATATATTTTGTCCAAGATAAGAATGAACAGCATGGGGATATCGGAAACGGTAAGTGATGTCGATTTAATTAGAGAAAAGTAGCGCATTTATGTGCCTAATAATATGCCATTTAGAAAGTTCTTCAATGTTAGATAGATGCACTGGAAAAAATGTCATATTTTGATACATGAAGTAAATTGATTTACTACTTGCCGGAATTTTTGCGTTTGTTGAATACAAAGTCGCAATATCAAAGGTTTAGTTTATAAAATGTAGTTGTAATGTAATTACAAGGAGCTAATATGTATTATAGGAAATAAACAGAAACTTATAACAAGTGTTCAAATAACCCGTCGTTAAAATCGAAACCATGTTGATGTCTGGAGACTTTGTGTACACGCGGATTTTGTTCTGACCAATAATGAACATTCCACTTATTAAAAATGCCATTGTTGGTGATCTTTGTTTCATCAGACCAAATTATTTTGAAAGGAAAATTTCCATCGTCTTGGCATTTTCTAGTGTACCATTCACAAAAGGTTGTTCGCCTTGCATCGCACCTGGTCTGAGTCATGACAAATGAAGTGAGCAGTGGATTTGGCTACTCCGGTATTATGTTTAATGGTGCGAGTGGATATCTGAGGATTTCCAACAACGGCCTGTAACACATCACGCTGATTTTCTTCATTAGATTGCTTTTGTCGGGAAACCACAGGTTTTTTAAATGATCCATATTCTTTTAAATTAAGAACTAAACGTCCAAATATTGATTTATCAGGCTGTCGCCACTCAGGATACTTATTAGAGTACGCACGTTCAGCATCAACACAATTTCTTTGGCACAAAATGTGATATGACAACATATCAAATTTTTTAGTATTCGAAAAGCTGCCGTTTTCCATTTTTAACACAAATTAGGTAGGTAACGAAATGTAAAAGTAGGAACAGTAAAATGTCAAAAATTCTACCAAACAACAGCATTATTATGACAACAGAACATTTTGTAACATTTATTTCAGCGCGTACTACCTAAAATTGAAGAAAAGCAGGTTAAGTAATCACTTTTCATTTTGCGCGAGAAATGGTTACGAAATCATATTATGTGACACATTGCTGTATTCACAATGAAAAATGGAGTCGTATACAGGGTATACTTTAGTTTCGGCCCATATAAAAATACAAAGTTGATGATGTTTTCTAAAAGACGAAACGTTGCAGAAAAATTTTGCTTACGTGCTATTTGTTTTACATTTCCTTTCCTAGGAGAAAATACAAACGAAATTCTCAAATTTCGGTTTTTCTCGGATATCTCCAAAACTACTAGGAATATCGAAACTTTCTAAATGGTATATTATTAGGCACATAAATGCGCTACTTTTCGATATCCCCATGCTGTTCATTCTTATCGTAGACACAGTGTGTACGAGGGTGGTCGAAAAAGTTTCCGACCTCAAAATGAAGACAACGGCACTCGTAAATGAAAACTAGTGAATTTCGTTGTTCATCTGTTGACTGTTATTCACCAAAGTTTCAGCCATTTTGGTAGCACAGTTGTTATGTAACAGTCGTTTGAATGAGTCATTAAATATTTGTTTTTGAAAGGCAATATGCACACGCAAATCAAAGATGAGTTGGATTCTGTTTATGGGGACTCTGCACTATCATTTATCATAGCTGCATTCAAATGTGGTCGTAAGAGCTTAGGACACGATGAACGTTCTGGACGTCCAAAAACTGCAACTACCGACGAAAACATCGCCAAAATTCACCAAATGGTGCTACACGTCGAATTAAAGCGAGAGAGATAGAAGAGGTTAGAACATGACAAAAAAAGTGTTTGTCACATATTGAATCAACATTTGCATGAGAAAGCTGTCCTCGAGTTGGATGGTGCGTTTGCTCACATAAGATAAAAAACTTGTTCGAATGAACATTTTCAACGCTCCGTTGGCGCAGTTCAGGCGCCATACATTCGAGTTTTGGCGCCAATTATTTACTGTAGACTAAACTTGGATACAACATTACACGCCCTTAACAAAAATACAGTCCAAACAGTGGACTGCAAAGGGGGAACCGGCCCAACAAAAGCAAAAAGTGTCATTTGGCTGGAAAAGCGAAGGCGACCGTTATTTGGGATAGTCATGGAGTTGTTTCAATCTATTATCTTCAAAAAGGAAAAACCATTACAGGAGTATATTACGCATCATTACTTGACAAGCTGAAGGCAGAACTGGCGGAGAAACGGCCACATTTGCAGAAAAACTAAATTCTGATTCACCCAGATGACGCACCGTCTCACACCTCAGGGGTTTGAACTGCTTGACCATACTCCTTACTCACCAGATCTAGTTCCAAGCGACTTCTTTTTGTTCCCTCATCTGAAAATTGCGTTCGGAGGACAGATATTTTCGTCAAGTGAAGGAACAGAGAAAAACACCGAGTCTTTTTTGGACGGATTACAGAGACGGGAGCATCGCTGGAAGATGTATGTTGGGTGTTAAAGGAGACTATGTTGAAAAATGAAAAAACGTCTGAAAAGATGTCCTATATCTTTGTTAGGTCGGAAACTTTTCGGACCACCCTCGTATACTCCATCCTTGACTCATCGCTTTTGGACTTTTCAAATGTATCCCCAGGCAAATAATTATATTTGTGTCACATCTTGGCGGCAGTGTAAATACTTGCATTGGTTTAAATGTCCTGCAGTTTTCGACCGAATATTGATTTTTTTCAATTTATCATTCCTTTTCTCACATTTTTTGCTCTTCAACTCTTGATAAAGGTTATTTCATATGCATCTGAAACTTGGACTTAATCGAAAACCATTATTCTAGAATATTTCAAAAATATTATTCGGTGGTTTGACAATAACTTTTTAACGATGAATTTTGATAAAATCCTATATCTTCCGTTCACTTCTTATGAAAATTTATTATTTAACTTTGGCCCTTTCAAAATTACCAATAATACACAAATTCTTGAAAGCGACTAGGTCAAATAAGTCAAATAATGATTAATAGACATCTAAAATGGGACCATCGAATAAATTATATTGTAAAAGCCTCTTTGTGGCGCTGTTAGTAATTATAAAGTTCTATGATTTTATTGACCAATGAAAACCTCTTCAAAAACAGTGCGTTTGCTTATTTAGGAATTCAATTAGTTTCCATCAGGATTGATTTATTTTTCCTATTTTTTTATGTTCATTTCAATGATTGAATATTCTTGTAAATTTTTTGCTCGAACACAGAAAAAACGGTATGCATAAATGTAAAAATAATAAAAAATCTGTTTAAAAACAGAATAGTAGTTTTGGATAAATTGTTTTGCATTTTATCTGAAATAATGTGGCTCAGCATAAGTTATGTCATGGGTTTTTCTGGACAGATGTTTATCTTTCATCATCAATATTCACTTTAGTTTTGATATTTAAGCTCATCTAGTGCAGATAATATCCTTCATTTAATAGCTACATGATTCAGATTACACTCAATGTCACTTCCAAGATTTATAATATTTTAGAAACAAACTTTATTAACTGTCTATGAGGAAATGAAAAAATATCGTTTTGTCCATTTCATTTTTTGTCTAAAAGATGCTTTTCTTGTGTTGATAACTGATAAACGTATATTTATTTTGTCTTTCTGATGAAACTTGTCAGTAAGCTATGAATTCAGATGAAAAACAATTTTTTAAATATTGTTTTTTCAACGAAATAGTTGAAAGGAGTGGTTGAGTTAAAATCAGACCGTAGGTACAAAATGTCTCATTTTTCAGCATACTCGTAGAACATTCCATGACAGTTCTGGCAACATTACGAAAGAAATGACTGGTTTCTGGATAGCGGATATGGACATCAATAGCCCGCATACAGTTGACAGACATGTGCCAAACATGAGAAAAGCTGAGCTCGTTACCCAAGATTGTGTCGACCATCTATACTGTGGTTTGCCATACATAGTGCCTGTGATGACTATGATATGGAAGACACACTGGGTGGCAGGCCCTCCGCCAGTACTGCAGAAACCAGTATTGATGAAAGTATTACAGAGAACGACTGTACGTGGTGGGGAGACAATAACGATACAAGCTGAAGGTTAGTGAAATAGATTGATATTGAATTAAACACATCCAGAAAATTGGTTTTTGAATTACATACAGACATTTGAAAGAGAGTACAGGAAATGTTCTCAAGAAGAGTTAAACATAAAGAGAAACATATGAATAGTGTAATTTTGAAGATGAACAAAAACAACCTAAGATATTTCCCTGCAGTAATGAGGTACAAAAAGCAATATTTTTCGATCTTCTGCAATATATTTTATAAATATCAACATTATTCTGAAAAAAGGTTGGTTGAGGCTCAGCTTTTACAAACTATTAATACTTCCTCTTATCTAGGAAACTCGCACATATTCAAAAACCTCTTTTCATGCATCAGACACGTCTGATGAAGCTAATCTCTCAAAGTGGGAACTTGGTAAATTTAACTCATGGTAAATGATATTTATCTTTTCATTAAATCAATAGTGAAAAAACATTAAAAAAAAGGTATTAAATACATGCTCCTCAAAGATAATTATCTGTGTCCAAGTCCTGAAAGCACAACATACATTGGACGGTCGTGGCAACCACCAATGTCTCACATCAATTTCCTCCTTTTTGTTATTATAATTTGAAATGTATAATTTGCTCTGCAGGTCCACCCCACTTGGGAATAATAATATCACCAGTTCAAGGAGTTGAGCTAGAAAGTTGGAGCTTAAAAACAGATGAGCTACTTGCTGGTCCTCTTTGGAATGGGCGTAAAACATATTTTATTTATTATGCACATGGTTTAGATGCTGTTCCCTTTGTGTTGTCTTTGAATTTCAAGGTAAGTTTTGCAACTGATTTAATTTCATTGTATAATCATGATCTGGAATTTCTTTTAAATCTTCAAAAGTTCAGCAGGTTATTCGAATTTTATATGGAACCTGCATCTCATGAATTTTTCAATACTAAAAGACAACCTGAGGTACATTATGACTTCAGGTACATTATGACTTCATCTGGTCCCTTTTTTATGGATAGATACGATTTTTGTATGTAGTCTCCCAGGCTCCTTGTCCCTCAACCTCAGAACTGCATATATCGTTCTTTTTACTTCACCATGTCACGCCATTCTATCATGGGAACATGCAGCACAATCAGCAAGAGTTTTTAGAGTGTGACCTGAGGTACACAAGTAATATGAAAAAAATTATCAAATGAAATTGGTGAATGTAGCTGTTACCATGTAGAACAAAGACAAGAATCGCACTCAGCTTTGGACTCAAGGAGGAGCCTAGAGGCTAGAACATCAGCCTCCTCAAGGGCAATGAGGAGGCTGATGTTCTAGCCCGTGAAGGCGCATCCAAGGCTATGATCGGCCCAGAACCCTTCTGGGGGATAGCGAACCCTTCTGGATGCAAGCCGAATCGATAGATTGGTGGAATAAGCTCCCAGGAATGAGGCAGGCGAAAGAGTTCATAAACCATCGCCCAGATTCACGAAAGACCTGCTAAACCACAACCGAAAGGTGATAAGGATAGTGGTGGGTCTATTAATGCATAGCCAACTCAGGAAACATATGAGCAACATGGGTCTGACAGAAGAAACCGAATGCAGGTTCTGTCAAGAAGAGCAAGAAACCGCACTGCATGTGCTCTGTGAATGCGAAGCGATAGCAAGGCTGAGACAAGCAAGATGCGGGGAAGAGAAACCAGAGGATGTCTGCTATATGAAGGAGTCAGGTACAAGACTATGTACTCATCAAAGAGATCAAGCAAGAACAACCAAGGAGCATCACAATAGATCTGAAAAAGGTCGTAGTGAATCAGGCCATTGGCCAGCTCCCCGACAATTTAATCTAATCTACCACGTAGTAAGAGATCATCATGAAAAATTATAAATAAAACTTTCTATGTTTTTTTACCACTTTTTATTTGTAACTAACGTTACTGCAGATTCGTCCTATATGGACAAAGGAAGGAAGTAATCAATTTGAAAATAAGTAACTCTATACATGGATGTGTAGATCATGCAAAGAAGTAACTTTCAGACACAAACTGAAAGAAAGTCCTCCTGAAACAGCTACTTTCAACAAGTGGTAAAAGACCATAGAAAGTTTTATTTTTGATTTTTCATTAAATGAAATTATTAAATACTACCAGGCTATGAATATTATAAAAACTGAATTAAAAATGAAACAAAGCAGTTAGGTCAGTTGAAAGTTGAAATAATTTTGAAAATACTTTGACAACCAGTTCTTTAACAGCAATACCTATCAGTTATTGCTTGATTCATATGTTAACTGGATTGAGAACAGTCACTTACTGATTGTTTCATGACAATAAATTCATTAGCCTTTTTTGTAACTTCTCACAGAAGATTAAGCTATTTCAAACATCTGTGAAGAAATTTATCCTATCCATTTTTTGTTTCATACCTCTACAACTGATATAATTTATTGCAGATTCCTGAAGACCACAAAGGCCCTACAATGGACTTGGCTATAACTTCACACTACCTTTTTGGCCCCGGCAAGGCTTCTAAAGAATTCCAGCATTTTGTGGCTCAGTTTCCTTCCTGGACTACAGTTACTCATTGGACAGCTTCCTATGAATCCTGGATACTGTAGTAATGTTCTGTAGTATTTATTATAAGCATGGTTGCAATTGACTGATTTTGACGAATTCTAAGAGTCCGCGCGGCACATTTGTGCCAAAGGGGCCATGCTGCCTGAATATTATTCAGACACTATTGGCTATAGCATGTTTTCAAGTATTCTCAAAGAAAGTGGGTCAAGTATCTCTTTCCTGAAAGTTTTACAGATTTGGTAAAGGGTTTATGGTCTGGGCCAATTGAATACATATCACCATCTTTACATTTTTTCTGTTGGGTTTTGTTTTGATTTCACCAACAAAAAAATGTAATATTTGTCATCTTATTTTTCTTTATGGTAAACTGCGTTTTTCTTCTCTAAGAGCCTAAATTCAGTCGGGAATATCATGAACCCAAATTTGTGAATGATATATAGTTTAGTAGCTCAATTCTTTGAAGCAAATATTTGAATGAAAATATTTTTGTATTTGATTTATGAAAATCCCATCCGTTATATTTATAATTTGTGATTTACACTGTATTCGTTGAATGTGATTTAGGTTCATAGATTTCATTAACCATTTCTTATTATTTTTTTATGCAAGCATTTTTATCACTCTTTTATCTGTTGAAGTGCATTTCTCTATTCCTGTGTGTGTCGTATGTTTTAAATGACGTACTATTCTTGTATTTATGCAAACTTTTAACTGCAATGTGATTTACATTACTTACTTCAAATATTTCTGTTATATTTATGTTTATGAAGAAAGGGGCAGTTGAATATTTCCGGTATGCTCTTTGTGAGAAAAGTTTTAGATAAATGCATATATTGGTATTCAATTGTGTACCTCTTTGTGTTCCTATGCAATTTTATTAGTTTTTAGAAACATAGTGCTTTAAGTTTGACTTCACCCAATGCCAAATAATAATGTGAGGTACTGTTTTTTTATTTACCAATATTCAAAAATCAGAATGTGATAGTAACATTTCATTAGGATTATTTTAGTGTTGATTTACAATTAAATGTTGTTTTTCATTCACAAATTTTTAATATTTGCGGTATTCAAAATAAGCGTACCCAGGGTTATTTGATGTTACCTTATTTTGAAAACAATTTGCAAATATTAGATGTGACATGGTCAGGAGGGTTTTATACTGACGATTTTTGAACGAGACTAAAATTTTGGCACTTTATTGGACAAATGAGTCCACAATTAGACCCAAGCAATTGACTGTAGTTTCCATATTTAAATAAATATCTTCATCTGCACTGCAACAAAATATTAACACGTTGCCTGCCGTTTCGGTCTATTTGACAAAAAAAAGTTTCCACTTAGGTCTGCAAAGTTCGTTTGGTCGGGAACTTCCAGAATGATTAAGAAGAAGGGTTGACCTAGTCCAGTCTTGGTCTATGTGTCAGAGGTATTTTTGTAAATATATCAGTAGCAATGAGGAATTTTGAAAAAGCGTTTATGAGAGTTATTACTGCACTTATAAAAGTGTCCCTGCACACCATGCCCTGTGGTGTAAAATTTTTGACCTGTGTGGTAAAACTTCTTTGGCGTCAACATATTGAATCGGTTTCAACTGTATCGTAGGCAACGAGTTACTGAATTTGGACTTAAGAACTTCTGAATGCCTCAAAGCCATCACTGAGGATAGAAAAATTAATAGAATTTCATAATTACTGGGTCATTCTTGAATATGTTTCGAAAGGGAACAGTAACAAAAATAACTCAGAAAATTTCACCATGTAAAAATATCTATTGATATTTAGGAATATTTCATTTATTTTATCCCATTTAATGTTATCCCCAATACTTCTCAAGAACTTGTATTTTATGGTCGATTTCAGATCTCCGGTATCTTATTTTTATTTTGTATGCTTCAAAACACGTACTATTTTTGTTGCCCTAGATTACCATATCTCTAATGTTGAATAATATCTAAAGCATGTGCATGAATAAAAATTAACTTGCAATATATCATGAAGAATTTTTACGTAGATAGGTGCTGAGGTATAGAGTATAGAAGTAATGTGATACTTATAACAAAACACCAAATTTTTGTATAATGCGTTATTTATTTTCGGTGACGTTACGCACACCATTTTGTTGAAAAAATTCATTATTACAACTGTTATAAAAATAAATTCCTTCTCGTTCTCCATTTGTTTTATTGTGAGAATATCACCAAGTAGTTTATACGGATTATAATACATATTCGAGTAAAGCTCTTGTTTTTATTCACTTTTCTTCAGATATATTTGTTTTCCGGCAGGCATTTACCAGCACCTACTGTGTAAGTACGTTGGGAGTATGTATGTATATAGTAGGCAGGGTGAGTGTATACCCACAGCACTTAGGCCACATGTGACCCATTGTACATCCTCCCTAGGAGTTGTCCTTCTAGGTCATCGTCCATCCTATCCTTTCCGGCGGCCTCCGCGAAAGATTTGGAAGGTGCAGCGACATTACTGTCGTTGCGCGGCTTCTTCAACCTTCCCGGGGTTCTCCTAGTGGAGGTGTTCCAGTTAGGGCGCTTTCCTACAGGGGCAGCCGGTTTCTTGCCTTTATTCAAGGCGGAGATCTTGGCGCCCGCCGCAGGAAGTGCCCTTGCTGTTGGAGGTGTAGTGGGTGAGGAGGGTGCACTTATAGTTGCTACCACTCCTGCCTCTTTCGCTCTCTTTCTCCTTTTAGCCTCGGCGCCGCAAATGCGCCGCCTTTGTATTAAATCACAAGGTGATGTGCGGTAGATTGGGGTGGACATTTCTGTTCAACCTCAGCCATCACTATAGATTGAGGTGAGCACTTCTGTCCAGCCTCGGTATTGGTTTCTGTTGTGTTTGCTTGTTTCATATATGCGTATTCCCACGGGTAGCAAGTGAATAGTTGGTCACCACTGGCAGAGCCCCGCATTACCATAGGAAGGCTGATTACAATGAGGTTTCACCCGGTTCTCCAAAGGTATCGTTCCTGACCGCATATTACCCTGCGGTCATTAAGCTGTCGGCACAATTCCTTACACCTTAGCTTGGGTAGGCTGGTCCACGGTGGCATGTTTCGCAAAAGCTTTTGGGGAGTTTTAGTTCCCCTCACCCTACTTATTTCTGCCACTGACCATGAGTCCGGCGATCCCATCCGTCACCTGGGGACGCGCCCCATAGGTAGCCCAACCCACGGGTTACGTTGGGGGTAATGAATGTTTCGAGTTTTCATTTCGAAACATCTATTTTCTTTTATATATATATATATGTATCTCTTCTCGATTATTTTGATTTCTAACAGAGTTGACTGAATTTTAACATAATCTTTTGGAATTATACTTCATGTTTAGAAGCTATGACCTTGGAAGCTCCATCGTTTGTTCAAAAAAAGGAAAAAAATACTTGTAACGAAGATATCGCTGAAAATCAAATCATCACAGGAAAAGTCCTTTGATGTTGGAATTCAAGTTAATGAACAGATCAAAAGGTATTGGACAGTGAGAGTTTGAGTACATCAGACATGAATTCTGTTGATACATCATCAGATTCTACTTTGTCTGGAATATTAGTTGAAAACTGGAACTCGAAAAACAATATTGAGCGAAGATCTACACACATCGGAAAAGTCTAGGGATATACAATTAAATGTTGTTTTTCATTCACANCTTTTGTCTCAAAAATGCCAGTTACACAGAATTGATTTATACATTACTATGAAGAAAATTAAATTGAATTAACGATAGCAGCGATTCATAATCTCCAACTACAGACCCGGTTGCCACCGCTCGAAGCTCGTTTGCCTGGTGTGACGTCAATATGTAACCACGGGCGATCTCACATTTTTAATTACTCTTGCTCAGTTGTTAATTGACATATAAACCAGAAGACTTTGTGGGATACTTGGGAAATGATTTACTTTTATAATATATAATTTTCAATAAAAAACTAAATTAGCCCATTCTTCTTTCTGCTTTGATAAGTTTTGATGCTTAATAAAGGTCAGATAAGACTTTCTTTGGAGTATTGTTTTCATTTACGGAGTTCTGCCCCCAAATACGCCCTGAAGCTGCTTGGATTCCATCTGGAAAAGAGCCATCCGCCTGATTGGAGAAGCGAACATCAATTGCAACTTTGATTGTCTGGAACAACGAAGAAAGGTTGGAGATTTGCCTATCTTCTATAGATACTTTCACGGGAAGTGTTCAAGTGACTTAGCACATTTGATTCCACCAAAAGCGGTATATATCAGAAATACGCGACGGACAGTGGCTGCTCATCGTTTTGAGGTTCAACTCAGTTCAGCTCGAACTTCACTGTTTAAGAATTCACGTATTCAAAAAACACTTTATTGGGAGATTTTCACTAACTAAACGATTTGACAAAAACGCGTTTTTGTAAAATAGTTTAGTGAAAATCTCACAAAAAAGAGTTTTTTGAATACGTTAGTTATGGATTTTCATCAAGTATCGACCAATTCCATCACATAGTTTAAGAACTCTTCCATCTGGAGAACGGCGTTTATGTGGAATGAATTTCCTTCAGCGATTTAAATGCAGTGTGAATGACTAATTTCGCACAGGCACCGATTTAAGAGCGCCTAAAGGATTTTCCTGTAGTGCTTGTGTTTTGTCCATGAAAGAAAAATGCATACACGTAATATTAAAGATTTATTTCTAAATGTTATCAAATTTTCTAGAGTGATTCAACAGCATTCGTTGATAATTCTTTGATGCAAATTTTCTAAAGACATTTTTTTAGCATAGGTATTCTTTTTCTGTTATCCCTTCAAAAACATTATGGGACATCACATTTTGTGACATCAATGCTTAATGCGGGACAGCAGACAGCACCGTTATGTTGAAATATGAAATGACTATCACATTTTTGATTAGGACAACCTTTTTCCGCCGTGCCGGATTGGCAGAACAGAAAGCAATGAATGGTCTTATCAGTTATCCAATGTGTCTCCCCCTGATTTCTTGTGTAGATATCTAAAAAGTGAAATGTATAGACTTCAGAAAAAATGGATTGAAAATTGTCTATGAGAGTGCCTTCAAATGACTCTAGAATTACTTTGGAAAGTGCGAAAACGTTTCAAACAAAATTGACAGTTCGAACTTTTCCATTAATTTATATTCAAAGTATATTTTTTTCAGGCAAATTGATCTTTATACTGATATTGGGATAATCGCATAGGTGAAGACTACAGAATACTCAGGTAAAACGAAGGGGTCCTAAACATATCACATCAATTTTTTGTTAGGACATTGTAACGCTTTTTGAGAATTCTCTGGAAGTTGTCGAGAGTTTTATATTTCCGTTAAATGTCCGCCACCGGGTAACTCATAAGGATATGAGAAATTATGGAGTTTGGTTGTAACGTTTCGTTAGAAAAGTTTTAGTAGGCAGAATATTATGGAAAATCGCAGGAGTAAAGTATCCTTTGAACGGAGTGGATTCAACTTCTCTCATGGACCCAATGATAACTCATGAAGAGAAAAAAAAATGGAGTTTGGTTAAAGTGATCCGATAGGAAAACCTTGATCAGCAGAAGAATTCGAAAAATCGCAAGAGTAAACTAGCCTTTGAAAAAATGGCAATAGTAAACTACCCTTTGAAAGGGGTAGATTCAACTTTTTTCATTGGAGCCAATGATATCTCATAATTCATGTTGAGGGAGCTCACGGGAAACCACTGCCGAACTTTTTTAATATTAAACATTATATGAGTGTACCCAGTATTTTCTAGATTCCCGTTTTATCTTCTGCAAGTACCGATAAGCAAAAACAACGTCCTCTTCTGAGGAGCGCATGACGACTGATGAAAACAACTGCTCCGTTGATTAATTATCAGATAGGCTATCGTATCGCTCCAGTGTGCACTGAAGTGTTCCGAGGATAAAAGTTCCATCGGGCGATAAAAGATTGTCTATGTTGCATCGCTTATCGTATCGCTCCAGTGGGAACGACACCTAATAGAATTGAACGATATTTGATGAAAATCCATTATAATGTATTCAAAAAAACACTTCAATTTGAGATTTCCATTTGAC